AAAAAAAACAACAATTTTTTGAGTTTTAATATTAAAACTGGGCTGTAAAAAAAATTCCTGCAAATTACAACCTGTATATTGAAACTGTACTCTAAAACTGAGAAATGAAGTAAAAAAGAAAAATTCAAAGTGGTTAGAATAATCAAAGACATAAACGCTGTTCGTAAGTAAGCAAAATAAACGACGGCGAAACCAACTAACAATGTGGAAACGAATAACAGGAAAAAATAATCTATAACAGGAACAACAACAAAAACAAAAAAAAAAAAAAAACCCATAACACAAACCTATTGCACGCAAAGAACCAGCGCTGAAACAATAACAACATGTGGCTTCTGTAGCTGCATTTTCTGTGTGTGTGTCTGTGTGTGTGTGTGTGTGCCTTCGTGTGTGTATGTGTGTGTCTGCGAGTGTGTGTTTGTGTGTGTTCCGCGGGCCAGACAGACAGTGTGTAGTTTTGCAAAAGAATCGAACATTCGAGAATTATCTAGTATATTCTAATTGTTACCGTAATTGCATAACTTGCAACGATCTAAGGCAAATCTAGAACATGCACATCAATATAAAATTTAAAATTTGAAAAAAATTGGGCACTTTGCCAAACATTTTTTTTATTTTTCGAATTGCTGCTGTTTTAATTTTTTCTTTCCGATTCATCTTCAACAACTGATGATGATCGTTTGCTTAAACTACTCGCCAATGAAAGACAGCTGCTGGCTGATAGGGACGGATATTTTGCTACAGGTTTGGAGTGAAAAACTGCTGAGAAGCAATGGAACAGCGATGCTCGCGGCTATCAATTTGGCTGACTATACAATGTTTTATTTTGCCTACATATCCACGGAACAGGCAAAACATTTGTGAAAATCTCGTCGACCAGTGTGAGTTCCTCTTATTGATATCAACATTTTTGCTCTTATTTCGGAATTTCTTTGTAAGCGCCTTTTTTTTTTTTGTTCTTTTGTTTTATTTTTTTATTTTTCTGTTTTTATTGTTGGTGGTCTGATTAGCTGGGTTGTAGTCAGAAATTCATAATTAATAGCATTTCTATATTTTTTGTTGCTCCAAAAAGCCCTCATTAAATCTTTTCTGATTGATGTTTTAACCGAAGATTTTTTTCATTTTTTCTACATTCACTTAAAGTGGCAAAACAATTTTCGAAAGAATACTTGATATAGCAGTAATTGTAAAGTAGTTAGTGCAGTTGATTATACATCTTGTCTCATTTGGTTTCTTTAGAATTTCTTACGTTATTACCCTAGCAGCTTCTAAATTTGTTATAGGATTTAACTGAAAGTAATGGTCTAAATGTAGTATGAGACTTTTATAACTGCTGATTACGCAAATTACGTAAACGGTTAACCATTTATATAACTTCAGTAAGAAAAAGGGAGAGGAATTCATTTTGCCATTTTTCAAACTTGAATACTGAAGAAACATGAGGTTATCAAGATAGTGAAATTTGCTGTTAATGATATATTCCATTTAAAAAGTACATAGCAGAATACGAAGAATTAGTATCAGTGGGAATTCGCTTGAAATTTTTTTATTCTTTGTTAAATAAATTCAAAACATTAAATAGTTGGTGAATGGTTAATCGCAAAGAAAAATTTATGTCTGGGTTACCCCACCGCCTTGCTGTTGTCTAAATCTGCTGCAGCGATTCGCTTTTAGTTTGCTGTCAGTCTCATCTTATCGATGTTTGTATTTTTACATTAAAAATTAGCATTGTTAATGTTTGAAATACTTTTTAGTATTTGGGTGGTCGACAGTTGAATGAAAAAACGAAGGTCTGGGAATGCGTGAAAAGGCGGTATATTCTTCAACATTGACAGTTATTAGCACCTTTTGTTCAACGCTAGTTTTTTGATTTGGTGATAACCAGAGTTAGGGAAAGTAAGACCGCGCGATATCGGGGACTCAGTTTGGTACATTAGGGAGATACTATATATCGTTTTGCGAAAGCCCAAATGAGTTGACGCGATAAGTTAACCGGCAGAAATCTCAATAATTGAAAAATCTCATTGCTTTGCAAAGGTATTACTGTAAATAATCTGTAATTAGTGTTAAATCTGTGGCTTTGAAAATAAATTTCTTCATTCTTCTTTGTAATTATCCCTTAAGTTTCAAGTCTGCTTGCCGAATGTTTTTTTATCTTGCCTCTTAGTTGATTTTCGGTCTACAATTTTACACTTACATTGCTAATGTTTCTTATCAACTTTCAGGGTGCTTTTAGCCTTTTTGCCTTTACGAAATTTCTTCTACATTTTTC